ACATAGTGATAATATGTAGAACCAAATGTTGCATTAAAATTTTTTAAGAATATGACTTGTGAAACATATTATCATAATTTCATAATTGTGTCTTATGTGATTGGATTTTATATATAACCCAATTAGATTTTCACATCAAATCTTTTTTTTTTATATATAATTTAAAACTTTTTTATATAAACCCCTATCCTTCCATAGGTGATCAATATTATTTTTTGGGCAGACAACTGTTAGGCCTCGGCAATAACTAGACAAATGTCTAGTGACATTTATTGTTCGAATAAACAATGTGCTCTACCCAAAATTCTGGGCAGGTAATAAATTTGTCCTGGTTGCTTAGCTATAAGCAGACCGGTAGTGCCTTTGGGTATGCACCGTTGGGCCTCTATAGTAGCTAAACAATGTCTAGGCATTTATTTTCTGGTTAAAAAATGTACTATACCCAAAGTTTTGAGCAAACAATAAATTCATATTTATTATTATGCAGGCCAGTATCACCCTATTTTTTTTTTCAGAGGAAGTTGGTAGAATTTCTACCAACTTCCTCTTTTTTTGTTTTGTCAGGTATTTATAGAAGTGGTGTTTTATTCTTCTAAACACGACTTATTTTACTTCAAAGTTAAACTATAAGAGAAATAATAATATGTGGATTACGCCTGTTGATTGGTTGTATAGTTTAATGATTATCTGTTTATATCATGTGCTTATATCATGTGCTAACAATATGGTTTCTGCCGCATGAAAAATCTCATACTTTTCCGAAAAAAAACGAAAGTCCCCCCTGCTCTAGGGTTGGGGGCATGGGGTTAAGAGGCATGCCCTTTGACCAAAAGGCATGCCCCTATCATGTGATATAGGGCTATTATATAATTGGTCAATTATCAAATTGGCCAATTAGAATTAAAGCCTACTATTGCTAATTACGATAATATATATATATATATCTATAGAAGGCATGCCCTGGGCATAGAGGGGCATGCCCTTCGCAAAGGCATGCCCCCAGGGGCATGCCCCAAAAATTTGCCGTGCCCCCAACCCTACCCTGCTCATTTCTACTGGTTGGATCATATGTATAAAGACCTATTATTTTATTGGTTATGCTACATAAATCCTGAAAATCTGGGTTAACGTTAAATGCAAAAAATTCGAAAATCTTGGGATTAGATACTAAAATTCAGAAAAATTTGGTTCCAAATTTTTTTCGTGTCCCTGCGATGTATAACGATAAGAGATTGCTGCAATGATAACTATTTTCTGAACAAGCCTTTCAAGCCTCCAATTATTGGTATAAATGATGTTACAACACCAGCAACTTCTTTCACTCCATCTAAAAAACTAGATTTCTTTTGGACATTTTTATTGAGTTGACTTTGCAAACTATTTACTGTCGACTGGTGTTCTGCTCTGACTTCCTTTAGCATTCGCTCATAACCAGCCTTTTGCTGATCTATTAATCGTTGATTCTCCTTTTTCTGTTCCCTAGTCTTTCTCTCATTATCTTCTAATAGTTGTCTGATTGCTTGTTGATTCTGCTGATTCTGTTCTTTAAGCATTCGTTCATTCTCGATTTTCATATGATCGATTGCTTGTTGACTCTGTTGTTTCTGATTGCGAAGACATTCTTCCATGCTCTTCACTTTTTCTTCAAGTTGATTCTGAATTTTTTCATTTTCAATTTTAACATTATTTATTTCCGTTTTTAATTTTTCTTCTTCCTGTAAAAGTTCATAATATTTCTTTTCGGCTTCTTGACGTGCCAACATTTCATTTGCACGTTCTTCACGCAAGATGCCATAAATATTCAAGAGTTTAATGGCATCTTCATATTGGTTGGATTTAAATTCGGTTAGCACCTAAATTATAGTGAAATTATGTTATGACCTAAATTCAATAGTAATGTTATTAGCAACTAAAATATATATCTACTTACTTGTATAGCTTCCTGTCCTGGCATTACTATAGATTCATAAGATTGTTCAAATAATTTAATTGCTTCTTCAAATTTGTCCGTATCCTGTGTAAATAGGATCATTAAGTCAAATCAACAATTTTTAAATAAGTAACATAAAAGAAATTGTTAATTACAAAAAGATTTTCAATCTCCAATCCAGGCGCGACATTCTTTTTCCAGAGTTTATGTGCCCATTCTTCATGATATTTGCTCATGGCAGTAGAGTTTTTCATGTAAAATTGATTTTTTGAGGCGGTAATTTTATCATGAAATGTTTTTTGAAATGATTGAATTTGATCAGCGCTCCCAACGATTTGTTTAATGAAATTTTTAAGCGCAGATTCAAATGCGATATTATGAATCTCTTCAAACTCATCCCAAGAAATAGGAAATCCTTTAATACTCATTTCATTCATCATTCCATTATAAAGTTCAATACAGGTTTCATATGCTTTTTGAGCAGCATAATTAATGGTAGCTTCATATGCACTTGGAATCGACAACATTGTATTTGATGGGTCATTTATTTGTACGACACATCTTTCAAGAAACTCAGCAAAAGTTATTCCTGACATTGTTGAAGCATTAAGGTATTTTGGAGGCAAATCTTCAAAAATATTTGTTACTGCTTCTTCAATTTTTTCAACAAAAATAGGATCTAATTGATTTGTCTCAACTGAGCTCATGTTTCTCATCACATCTTGCCGAACACCTGGGTGCTATTATAAAGTTAGTGGAATTTTTAAAGAAATCTGGAATATGATTATACTTACTGGGATCGGATAAACTTTGAATTTTTTAAAAAAATTTGTAATTTCCTTCGCGGCTATTTATGATATAAACAAGTATTATTTACTAGTTAAATTAGTTATAAAACAGGATAAAATATTTAAACATACCATCATAATCAACCTTTGATAATCTGTCAAGAAAATACTCTACAAAGTCATGTGGGCTATCTAATTGGCCATCTCGAAGAAGAACGACTAAGTTCGGCAAATATTGGTAATCATTTGGAGGTTGTATAAGAGATACGATTTTAGTCATTAGGAATAACTTTTCAATATCATCTCTTCCGATAATTCCATTAATATTATATATAAGTGTTGAAGAGATGGCCAAACATAAAATAATAAGTTTATTTGCCCATGGAGCTTCCTGGTTAGGATCATCAATACCCTCACAATCAATAACAACTACACCTAAATCCATATATAATATATATACATAATTTTTAATGTTAATATATGATAGTGTTCACCACTAGGGATGGGAACGGCTCGAACCGGTTCGGCTCAAAAGCCGTGATAAGCCGGCTCGTGACAAAATCGATTCTACTAAAATACTATATATATTTATATAACTCCCATATATTTATTGTAAACTTACGTTTGCCTTTATGGTAGAATGGAGTATCCCAAATATCAATGCCTTTGGTGCATCCATTCACCGATGAACCAAGTTTAAATCCATCATGGCGTCCAAGAAGAGTGTTTGCAAAGTATGATTTTCCTCTTCGATAAGAGCCAACTTTATATCGATATTTAAATTAATTTTACATTACAATCAAACCATTCATAATACTGTAACTTACCAACTGTTATAACGGCAATAGGTTCTTCAATTTTTTTCAAAATTCTTAATGCTTGTTCGTCTAATAAGATCGCACCACCTTCATCTAGACACATATAATTCAAAAGGTGTATAGGATTTCCTGGGCGACATGGAATCTTTTTGGAAAATGGATTTGATGACATTATTATTTTTTGCTTTGGAAAAGAATCGTTTAAAGTTCGATACTTTTCAACCTAATTTATAGTTTTAGTTGATACTAATGTAGTATGTTGATTTTGCCATAAATGTAAACAATGGATCTAGTGAAGGATGTTCAAATGAAGAATTGTAGAATTCTTTTTTATGGATTCACGGAATTTAGAATCCGCAATAATCTAAGATTTAATAACTTCAGATCAGTACGTTTATGTCAAAACCTAAAGCCCCAATGTAAATTGATCATTCGGCCAATTCTATGAATTTACTGATATCAGCCGACGTAAACAGCTTATGGATTCGGCAGGTGGTCGTTACAAATACTTTTTCAGGTCGGAGGATTTTTTCGATTTTAACAGTTGTCTAGTTTGTTGAAAATGTGTCAAGTATAATCCAGGTTAAAGATTGGAATCAGACCTTTAATTCACTGAATATTCGAATTAAACAATTTAAAATATATTAGAATTAAATTCGAATACAGTCAAATCTCTCTATAGCTACACAAAAAATGATGATTATATAAAGATGTGATTAATATAAAAGACATTCTATATAGTCACAGCTATATTAAAAATAAAGTCTTTGTGACTATATAAAGGTTTTATTAACTAAAGTTTTTTTAAAAATAGGGTTTGTCTTATCTTTATTGTCCGGAGCGAAGCGGAAGACTTACATGTTTAT